ATCTTTGTCCACTACTACGAGTCTGCAACAACTGCAAGCAATCTTTATACAAAACTCCTTCATCTGACCTAAGAATAACTCAGATTTTGCAGAACAAATCCTTATACAGGAATCCAAAATATACCTATGTATGAAGTACTCAAGGAATTTTAAAATTTCTACAGAAAACTCTATGTGAATACTACAGCCAGACCACATTTCTAATTTCAAAAGCTCTTACATGCATAGCAATAAACAGCTCTTACAGACAAAGTCCATATTATGGTAGGAATTACGACTGATTTACCTCCTGGAAACACTTTCCTGACTTCTGGGAATTTTAAAACCAAAATACATAATTAGACAAAAGATTACTTGTTTTATATGGCACGTGTGAGGAAGTTTTTTTACTATATTAAAATGTACTTAGTGATAAAACCATATCTAAAGATGGAGTGGGAACAAGACTGAACAACAGGAAAACAAAACCCAACCCTCTTACCAAGTGTATCAGCCACTACCCAAGTTTCAGCTTCTGTACCGACTCATGGCCACCTTACCTCTTAACTCTCTCCCCTTTGCCTAGGAAGCATGCACCAAGCACCTCCTAGTCTTGCAATGGGATCTATGTCAGCTGTGATCTACAGCCACTTGCACCAATCCAAGCCCATCGCAAAACTGTGATTCAAGTCAGAAGGTTTACCAGCAATCTGTTACAAATACATCATTTCCCTTTATTGTGCTTGCACTATACAACCACACTTTACAGAAGACCAAAGCTGTTAAATCCTGAAACTCAAGTGTTTTGGTCTGCTCTCAGCCTTACAGCAGGTAAGAACCATGAGGAGTACTATGCCACCATAAACATGGCCACCACACCACTGTGCCATCCCTTTGGTCACTGGACTCTTTCTCTATTTTGCTTTTTATTTTGGAATAGCTTTTATTTCGACTTTTGCAGTCTCTTACAAGATCTACAGCTATATTTAAGAAATATGGTACAGCAAGCTGAGAAGGGTTTTCAGGCATGGCAGAATATTATTGCACTCCACAGATTTCCCTCTCTAGGGAGAAGCAATAGATTTATTCCATTTGTCAGTTTTCATGTTGAAAATAGGAAACACACCAGCATTACCTGCAAGTGATATCCAAGTATTCTAGTTATCTTTGAACAGACAATTACTATTTTAAATTAACAAGTAAGTACTGCTGCAGTTGAGGGGAGTACTCATATTTAATCAACAGCAGATCACACGTAAGAAGAAATCAAACCCACAGTTTAATGGGCAACCATGGCAGTTCACTGGTGAAATTTATTGCATGCGACGTATTGGAATGGAATTACTTTACCTGTATGCTCAGGCAGTGAGACAGATACAGGTGACAGCCCATTGCCTTATGTGCAACACAGACATAAGAATTCTTGAATTTGGACAGGAGGAATGAGGACATAAAATAAGCTGAGGAGTAAAAAATGAGGTCTCTTAAAACAATCTGAACGTATAAGCACTTATCCATTCAATGCGTGATCTTATTCCTCTGTCCTAAACAATCACCTTCAGCCTGCAAACAGGTACGTGGATCTGTAGATGATCTTATTACACAAGCAGAGTTTAAATAAACTTACCGTACATTAAAAAATTACTCACAGATTAGATACAATTAGATATGTCTAACCCAACTGCCTCCACCATTCTTCACCAGATACAAGGTTTGATTGTCACTAACTGCTGTTGACACGTAACACTCCCAGTGACTTTATTTTTCGTAGCATCGCACTCACGACTCCCAAAAGGTGAGGTGGGGTCTATACGTGCTGTAAGGTTTTTCAATGTCCTTTTACACAGAGATACAATTCCTTTACAGCTTTATGTAATTTTATTTGCTTTACCTCTGACGTTTTGAATTTATTTTAGTAACACCTCTCTGAAAAGCCATTGCAAATCAACTTTCACAGAAGCCGTGCCAATGCATGACTGTGTTACTGCCACCTCTTGCAAAGCTTAAGTGAGAAAGAGCTTAGTCTCGCAAAGGTGCTCAGCTGGCCCTCTGATACATACTGCTCTGCAGTCACTAAACACACCTCAGTCCTTTATCAGCATAAAGCTGCTTTTTCTGTTACACTTACAAAAAAATTAAAGTACGTACGTACATGGAATTCATATGCATGAAACAATTTGTTTAAAGCTTGGATTTTTCCTTGATCAGAAAGAATCATAATGACTTAAAGCCTCATGTGAAAAACAACAAAGATGAATTGTCTGAGCAAGTTGTTCATATCAGGACCATCTAGAACAATGAATTAAGAGAATATGAAGTCAACCTGCAAAGAAACGATTTTTTTTTTTCCTAAATTACAGATCCAATGTTGAGTATGTAAGTGGAGCAAGGGCTACACATATCTGGTTTTGTTAAGAAAGGAATGCAGATTTTTTTTTTTAAAAGCAGCTTTTAACCAGGTAAAACCAATTTGTCTAGGGCACTCACATTGTCTCATCATCACAACACCTGAGCGCCTCAAAACTTCTTCTTTGCACCGTTAACCCCCACTATCTGTGGGAGGATTACGTGGGTTGCCCTTACATGATCAGCAGTTAAAGATATACACAGAAATAAAGGCATACACTAAAAAATGCATTTTGCAGCCCATACAAACTTGTGAGAAGTTTTCTCTAAAGAAACCTCTGTAGATGGCTGCTATGCTGGCCATATTCCGGGTGCAAAATTGCCAAAGATGGCTCTGCTCAGCCAGACCCGATCTAGCAGCAAATCACCAACACTCATGCTCAACCAGACTAATAAACACTAATAAACACTATCAGGAGGACTATACCATTACACCAACCTTCAAGTCCCAAACTGGTACTTTTGCAGTGCTGTGTCCTGTATTTCCTGCTGGAGAACACTGCTCACCTCAACCCTGCTTACCCAACAGTCTGGACCAGACAATCCTCTGGAGGATACTTTGCTGTCCTTCTCTCCCATGCACTTGAGAATCCTTCAAGTCAGGGTTCAAGAGAAGACGAAGCAAGCACAGATCTTGCCTTGCCAGGCTTTGGATACAGCAAGAGTCAAATGTTGGGATTTGCTCCTAAATTTTAGAGCGCAGAGAAAACCTAACTTTATGCAAGGTCCCACAGGGAACTGGTAGCAGATTGAGATCTCTATTTAATGTCTCAGACGAGCACCCTGGCTATAAGAACACCTTGTCATTCAAAGATACACCTTTTGTGTTCAAACACGTATCGTATTTGCCACTCCCTGGCTGCTTTCAGTTAGTCTTTCGTGGTCTTTTTATAATCCACCTTTCGGTACAAAACAAGACTTAGCAACGTTGCCAGATCATATCATGGATCCAGTGGCTGTCCTGAGACCCAAAACCAGATGAAAACTAAAAAAAACCCCTACTTACAATAAAATAAAAATACTTAAGGAAGTCAAAGAGTTACACAATGCCCAACAACTGGGGGGAAAAAAGTAACCTATCCACAGATTAGTATCTCTGAGATCTGGGAGGAAAAAACAGAGGATGTTTCCAGCAATAAAAAAACCCTTGAACTTGCATGAACTTGAACTGATCTAAACAAATAATCCTATTAGCTACTCCTGACTTTGGCCAGGATAAAATGACCAGGATTGGAGACAACAGGACCAAAACCCAGTGAAGGTCTGTCTGAAAGGCTCAGCTCCACGTGAAGGAGATTTCCCACAGCCCAGGCCATGCAGAAGGCAGAACCATTTTACAAAAACGCACTCAACAATATGAAATGGCTTTTATATAGCAATGATTAAACAGATTTAAGACTTCAGCTTGGCAAAAAGACAGCGGCGGGGGATAATATAGATCTGTCAAGCCATGACTACGCATTAAGGGTGAACAGGGAACAATTCTTCATCATGTCCCAAAACAGGAACTGAGGGTTGTGGGTGGGGAATAAAGTGAAACTGTGAAGTAGGAGGCTCAAAAACAAATAGAGAGAAGTCCTTTTTCAAGCAGCTGTGGAAATTATAACCACAGGATGCTGCAGATGCTGAGTTTACCGAAACTGAAAAAACTCCCTGCAGGTGATCCAATACAAAGGGAAGTCTTTAGCTGTGACCAGTGGGATGGGAGCTAGGAAAATAAGTCATAGGAATATCAGTACTTGTTTGACCTGTTAGTTTATTTTCCCCTAGATAAAATGCAGTGGGTCAGACCAAGTTTCTGATTGTGCTAAGCCCTGGCATAGAAAGAGGCTATAGGACCGCTGACCCATGTTACTGCCAGCAGAGCAGCAGCATGGCCGTAATTCATGCAAGCCTCCAAGATGTAAGCAAAGGTTTGTCATTGGAGAGAAAATGGCTTGAAACCAGTGAAACCAGCTCAGAACCTCCTTTTCCTTTCTTCCATGTCCAAAGACAGAGTTTCAACGTGCACTCTCCAAGGCATAAGGCAGACTCTTCTCTCCTAACTTCAGCTAAGAAACAGCCTATTGTTTTGTATATTCACCAAAAGCGAATGTCACTCATTTAAAGAAAACCTTGTTATTTTCTTGCATGAATTTTGCTCCCAAGAAAATAGGCAGAAGACACCAGGTGCTTAGGAACACCTATACATTTATTACAATTGCCACCATTAATTCCCATGAGCAGACTCATACACACTAGAACCAGCAAACCGCAGGGGAAAAATGTCACCACTTGTACCTGGCTTCACAAATCAGAAGTACGAGATGTATCACCTGACTAGGAAATAAGGAATTTTTTTATACGTAATACTTATAATTGGAAATTCAAATAATATATCAAGTCGCAGCGAGGTTAACACTTCCTTCTCCCTCCATTACACTCCAAACTCAAATTGTTAATTACCGCACAGTAATACCCACAACTTAAATATGCGAAACAAACAGACACAGTAGATAAAAGAAAATGCACTAAGGGGCAAGACACAAAGGTACAGAACCTACATTTTCATGTTCCCGTTCCCTGCCCTCACACAGACTCCCTGCGCTGCCTTGGAAGAATCACTTGCTGCCTCCATGCTTCACATTCTGTACATAAAATGGAGGCAACGCCACTCCATTACCTCACCACGATCTCGCAAGGATAAACTGAAGATTGTGAAATGTCCGCAAACTACTAGACTGAAGGTCATACAGAAGCCTTCCATAGGTAAGAGGAAGAAATATTTTTAACGAGCGCTGAGGTATTTCATCACTCTTACAGATGGAGCACTCCTGCAGTCTTTCACCAAACGAGCTCCAGTGAGGCTGCTGAGGAAAAACTGTTTGCCTGTTTAATCTGTGAACTAGGGTGCTGTGACAGTACTGACATTCTCACATTAGAAAAAAAGGAACATACTATGCATACTTCTGTGCATTGAATGACTAACACTTTTTTTTTTTGTAATCTGAAAGGAAGCTTGTAGGCTCTTGTTATTTAATAGTGCCACAGAGATTATTATCAGCGCACTATAATATCACAAAATTTGTTCACAGCATGTAAAATTCACACCCTGCAGTGAACCAACAAAAGATCATTTAAACCCTCATTTCAGCCTTCACGGTTCAGCCAGTGACAGACTTCTGCTAGCAGTACATGGGGGTATCTCTCTGGACTAGAATATACAAAGCACTTCTGTCTCGAGGGCACTGCCTTCACGGTATTTTTGGTCTCCCACAAAAGAAGTCAACGGAATCTGTTACAACCGCAAGTCCAAACAACTCCTCTATTTCTACTTGTTGATTCAAGTGAAACTAGGTGGTGGTACATCCCTGTATTTCCATAATTATTAAAACCAGGAAGACACAGAAAATTTGACGGCCTTGTTAAAATAAAATCGTATCACTTTTTGGTTTTGCACCCACATAGTTAAGAAGATGTGCTAGATTTAGACAGCGTGCTCCTCTGTGAACCAGGAGGCACACAACGGGACTTCCCCGTTTCTGAAATTGTGTCACGCAATTCACAAATGTGAAAACGGAACAAGGTCAGTATTTACAAGAGGTACTCCAATAAATAAGAAGCCACGAGATAATCTGCAAGTACTAAGGACAGAAAAAAAAAAATCAGCTTGCTGATAAAGCAGTGCTTTCAAAAACCAATTATCGGAAACATCAGGTTCCTTGAAAGAAAGAAGATAAAAATCATACACTGGAGAGCAGGGCACGGGAGGGTAAAAAGGCAGCACCAAGTGCCAGGGTTGTGTTTTTCTCTCTCACACAAACCCAGGCAGAAAGCAACGACGATCAATCCCGGCTCCGGCGCCTCGCTAGGGATCCGCAGGACGATCCCGGCGCCTGCCGA